AAATTCGCTTGGAACGCCGATTGAAGATTTTGTCGATGTACTACTTACAACAAGCATGTATTGATGCACACTCCTTACATCAATCTCTTCGTTTTCTTCGTATGCGAGAAACATGTCATCAGTACTCAACGACATTTTCACTATTGTCTGATGATCAACAACCTTTCCGGTAACTTTACTCACAACTTACTTGTAGTATTGTACTTATTTGGTTATTTACATACCATGGAATTAAACACAAGTATGATTGAAATCATGTATTTCACTCATCCGTATCTTACTGATTCTTGCTAAGAACTCCTCCCATGTGACTTTGACAAGAAAACACAAGTGTGATTGGAATCATGTATTTCACTCATCATGTATTTTACAACTGGAGTGAGGCGAAATCTATTGGGAGAGAGTTGAAGACGAAATATGAGTTGCAAAATTAAACTTATTGATACATTCTTTTAGAGAAGTATACTTGTATTCGATGGCAGAGCTAGAAGAAATTTGTTGGGGGCAAAGGCTAATTTCCCCGTCTAAGCCCTGCCATAAATAAATTCTTCATTAATTGGTTCAAACAGGGGGGCATTGGCCCCCTCGGCTAAATAGCCCGACCTCTACTAGTATGTTGACACCCTTTTGAGGCAGCGTCACACTCACTGACAAAGACTAGAAGGTTTCTTGGTACCTCTATCCCGTGTAGTTTCTACCAGAGCAACTAATGCTTGGGATCACGCTTGCAGCGGTAGTGGTACTCAGGAGCAGAGAAACCAATGCAAGTAACAAAAGGGGCATCTTCATGCCAGATTGCGAGGCAATGTCATCTCAAAATTAAAAATAAGAAGTAAAAGCCAGTCGGTTAATGATGGTAACTACAATATATCTTTTTTTATAAATATGAAATGAATAGATTTGTAATCTTCCCAATTATTCAATCAAATATAACAATTTTATGAATGTCTTTTCATTAACAATTTTATTTGGTAACTGCTACTCCCGCAGGAGTTGTTGGATTTCCCGGAAGAGGAAGGGTGATGCAGCATAACAGCAAAAAGTATTTCCCTCACTTAAGAACCAAGGGTTAACAAACCAGCAGCAACACCTGCACACAAAGAAAATAATTGCTTGCACCCAACAAAATCAAGGGGGTTGTCACTCCCCTTGTTCTTGCTAGCCACAAGGTTAAAAGCAAATAATAGTAAAGATAGCAAAGGATGACAATAACTAGATAATAATAGTAAATTGATAGCTATTGTAGGAACTTGTAAATATTTAGAGAATGGACCCGAGGCCATAGGTTCACTAGAGGCACCTCTCTCGAAAGCATAATAGCGAAGGGCAAACAAATTATTGTTGGACAATTGACATAATTGCGCATAGTTATAAAGATCATCCAAGGCATAATCATTATATAGTTATGAAGACCTTAAACTTCTACTACCACACATGTACTCAGCTTGGGAACCCTATATGCAATTGTTCAGTACTACTACAATACTACGCTAAGTTGCTAACATAATGATATTATTTTGTAGACATGTTAACAGTTCATTAGATTTGTTTGTTTTATGTGTATTTCTCTATGATTTAAGGGGTTTTTAAGTTCTGGTCAATGCCCACTTCCGTTCTCATGTCTGTTTTGTATTCATTATGTGTCTGTTTCCGGTAGTATCTGTTTCCGTATTCATTTCCGGGGTTTCTATATTCGTTTCTGCTTCTGCAAAAATATATGAAAACAAATTGGTTAGCACTCAGTTGCGAGGGAGGAAGGAGTTTGGGTGTTCCAGAATGGTCAGAAGCGGGCGTGGGTGTTGCCGGGGCGCCCGCAAAGCCCTTCCACGTTTGTGTCCGGTTTATGGGAGAAAGTGCGTCTGAACCGCCCTGCAAACCGATATATGCCCGCATTGGATGGCGCTACACGTCCGGACAGCGCGGTCCGGACGGTTGCGGGCGGTTTAAGGGTCACCGTTGGAGGTGCCCTAAATGAGTATATTCTAGGCTTGTGCTCTTTTGCCGTTGTTTATTTTTGGACCCTGATAAGTGTCACACATGTGGCATGAAGCAATTTCACCCAGACGTTTTTTAATGGCAAGTTTAGTTACCTGAGGATGGCAACTTTAGTTGTGAAGCATGACAACTTTCTGTTTGGATGACAAATTTCAGTCTTTTTTGTATTATTTTTTTTGGATGGCAACATTAGTGTAAAAAAGTCAGAGCGGTGTTACTTCGTGTCACACGTGGGACACTTATCATTTGTGTTATTTTTTAAGTTTGTCTTTAAAATCTTCTTATCCTTTAGCTTGTTGATCACGACAATTTATTCAGACTTCCTTGACTTGCCATGTAGGACTAGGCGAGACCAATGGGTAGGATTATCATTACCACAACACTACCGATCACATTCTTGTAGTAGAAATTTACACGTTAATTTTCTAATCAACACACATGCGATGGATTTTCTCGTTTCTAGTTTTCCAAAACTTGCATGGAAACTGGGGCCCGGTGCACCCAGGTTCCAGAAATCGGCTGTTCACATATCCCTATCGTCCTATCTGTGGAATGTGGATATATAGTTGGAAATTCCAAAACGATCAAGTGTCAGTCACGACCTGCCAAGTACCACGGCATACTACACACGAACACGCTGATCCATCCGCCCCATAATATCCACTATCCTAGTGACAATTATTACGTGACGGTTGTGTGGAGTGGTCCTTTTGGTGCGCCGTGCACGCAGCATAGAGGCTGCCCGGAGGAGACCGGAACGGGGCAACGCAACAATTGCACCACAGCGATCATGAACACGAGTTAGCTAGTCAGCTAGGCGCGCAGGCACGTACTGGTCCTGCGTGCACGGTCGCCTTTCACACAAAGCAACAAACACGAAAGCATACAGATCAACAACATTGTCTGCCCGCCCTGTAGCAGAGTACCTCTTGTGTTCGTCGGATAGCGGCTGGCGCCACGTAGTACGGCACGCAGCAGGCAGCAGATACGTACGCGGGATCGAATTCTTGTTCGTGTTCCGTTCAGTCGCTCTTGCTTCGCGGAGCGGCCAGGATCCTCATCCTGATTAATTAACACACGCGAAGGAAAGTATACACACACACACACACAAACCTCTTCTTCCAGCCACATAATAGTACACGTGCTACTATCGGCGGCATCCAGCGTGAACATGCGGTCTGGTGAGCGTACGTGCTCGGCTTGGCTTGTCACGTCGTGATTACTGAGGGAGGGTCTTTTCACGGAGGCGCTGCGCGGGCACGCTCGGAAAGCCGCGTACTGTACTTGCCCTTCCCCCAACCAAGCACTGTACTCCTACGCAGTGATAAAGAGAAAGGAACTGGAGAGAGGGGTGAGGAGGAGGACACGGTATAAAAACGAGTCTTATTGCGAAGCGTTTTTCTCTTCTCCCTGCTCCCTGGCGGCTGGAACCCTAGCAGCCGCCAGGAGAGGCCATCTTTCAGCGCCGTCCTCCGGCGGCTCCCCTCCGCCGGCGATCTCGGTCGTCGGTGGTGAGGGGGGTCGCCGGATTCACGCGTGTGGATCGTTTTTACTCCCGTGTAGTCTAGGTTTTTAGGCTGTTCATCGTCTCCGCTTCGGCGACAACGATGACGGCACTGAATAAAGATTCTTTGGATCTTTCCCTCACAAGGCCTTCGGTCATGTGGTTGGGGATGGATTTGGAAACCAGTCTGTTCAAGCAAGGATGGCGTGGCGGCGGCGGCATCCTCGTGGTGGACCTGTGTCCTCGGGCTCCGCCGTTGCAACAACGTTTGCTCCAGCGTCGGCATGGAGCTTGGAAGGTAGTCCAGAAGCGGATGCAGATTGTGGTCTGCATCGACGACATCTGGAAGACGGAACGTGTGCTAGGTTCGTGGTTCGTGGATGGCAGGTATGATTTCTTCCTTCGGCGTCTTAGTCGTGGTGGGGTGCCAGATCTGAAGTTCGATGGCGTGTCCGGGGTGTTGCTCCGGTCTGATTCGTTCAACGGCAATGGCTTCACTTTTGGTGAGCCACCTTAAAGGTCCGCAAAGCTGCATATCAGCGATGGAGCCGCGTCGAGTTCGGGTGAGGAGGTGATCCGTCATTCTTTTCTTCGGTGGCTGCTGTGGTGGTGCCGGAGGCAAGTGACGGGCGTTAGTGTCAAGCTCAGAGATGTTCTGTTACCTTTTCAGTTTTGTCATGTCGGTTCTTACGTGACTTGTACTTTGTTTTTTATGATATGAATGAGACACGTATTACCATGCAAAAAGAGAAAGAGAAAGGAACTGACCGTAGAGCCCCCTAACCACCACGGTACACCTCCGACCACCGCATGCGACGAACGAAGGCTGCAACGGCGCTCTCGCTCGGCACCAAACCGGCACCATCCGGGTGCGCGATCCCTGCCACGCCACCGCTGTCTGCCCCGCACGGGGCGCGCGGCCGGGTCGCGGGGCGTGGTGGCGGGTGACTGGCGACCGAGTCGACGGAGCACGACGCGGGGCACGTGGTAAGTCGGTCACTGCGGCCGTAACTGCCACTGCTCCGCCCGCCCAGGCTGTAAAGACCTCACGCACGCACCGCACGCACCGTGGCGATCGACCCGGCCCGGCCCGGCCTGCGGCTCCCCACTCCGCTCCACTAACCAGTGCCGCGATTTAACTAATGCTCCACCATAATCCAACCACTTCCCCGCTCCGCTTTGTCCCGCCCCGTTTCAAACCAAAGATAATCGCGTGCCACGCCAAAGCGAACACGATCGAAAGCGACGACAGGCCGCAGCACCGGCGACGTGGGCGTAATCACGAGCCGCTAAGGCGAGCGCCGTGGTGGTGGTAATCAGATTAGATCCCTCGGTTTTGGATCAAAACAGAAGTACTACTACTACTATAAAAACTGGGCAGCAAACGTGACCCGGCAAACGCCCACCCCGCCCGCCCGCGTCGCGCTCCCCACGCACGCCTCCCCGCATCCTCCTCCCCTTCCGCGCTGCAGGCGGCCACCGGCACCGCCTCGGAGCCGCCATGGCGCCGTTCCAGATGCGGTTCGGGCTCGGGATCTCCCCGTCGCGCACCTACGACGAGGAGGAGGAGGAGGAAGACGACGAGGAAGAGGAAGAGTTCGAGGAGGACGGGTTCGAAGAGGAGGCGGAGAGCGACGGGACGGCCTCGCCGCCGTCGACGATGATGCAAGCCGGGAGGGGAGGCGGGCTGGTGGGCGCGGTGGTCGGCGCGCTGCGGCGGTCGCTGGTCATGTGCAGCGCCGGCGCGATGGGGGAGGACGACGACAGCGACAGCGACGGCGACGAGGAGGGGATGGAGATTGGGCGGCCCATGGACGTGCGGCACGTCGCGCACGTCACCTTCGACCGCTTCGGCGGCTTCCTCGGTCTCCCCGCCGACCTCGAGCCCGACGTGCCCCGACCCACGCCCGGCGTCAGGTCAGCTCTCTGCCAGCCACTCTGTACCTTGTTTGTTTCTTTGTTGCAGTATTAATTCTGCTGCTGAATTTCCTTTTATCGGCGCTGCTGCTGACTGCTGACAGCTGAGTATAGTTTTCGTGAATTTGTGATCGAAACAAGCCGCGTGCAATGCTTTGCTACTTTCTGGACCGTGTATCTTTTTTAGGCACTTGTCAGCACAACGTATAATTTTTTGGGTGATCAGAAATTTTAGACTTCGATACAACAAGGATAATTCGTATATCTTTCGGGTAACCAGGAATTTTCATTGAGATACTTTAGCACGATAAGTAATATTTAGTACGTACTTCATTTCAAGCGGAACAAGTATATTACCTTGTGTAAAAAGTAAATAAATAAGCAATTTAACAACACATGAAACTCTAGGTACGACTATTGTTGCCAGGAAGGCTCCTGAGTAAGCTGATGCAAATATGCTGATTTAATTAGCTGTGTTTTGCTATTCTCTTGTTATGCTGATGCACTCAGAGATGATACAGGGTACGGAAAGTGGAATCCGTTAAAAAAATGTTTAATTAATTAGGCCAACAAGTGGATCTAAAAATAGGACAAGTGGTGCCTTTTGAATCAGGAGTTTTGTCAATTATGGTATTATTATAAGTTATAATGTTAATCCATGCCAAGGAGTGGAACTGTTTAACCCAGAAGTTTATTGATTTTGGGGTGAGGGCTGATTTAGTGGTCTGCTCCTGGCATAGTTGCCATGATTCTGAAGATACGTGGAAACACGATTCTGAGGACACACACCGGCGGATCAGCGAAATAAATTGATTTTGGGATTCTGTTGCATGGCTAACGGCTGAGCTCTTTATTGGATTTCGTAGCCGGATTTCTTATGTGCTTGACCTTGAAGTTGGGACTTTTTATGTGGCTGACCTGGCCGGCATGGGCAGCTCAATGGGAATCTTCTCATCTAGCTTATGTTTTGGATTAGGTTGATCTCAGCAGCTGTACTTGCATCTGACATAGTATGGGATTTTTGTTTATTTTTACCTTTTGCATTTATAAATGCCATTCGCATCATCTTTTTAGGTTGTTAACATCAAATCAGGACAGGATTTCAGTATTTATTTAATAACCCAGTTAGATGAGCTAACGAAGATAAACGTTGTCATACTGCTGCCGTTGCTTCCTAGTCCCTTAAAAAGAAATGGTTGCCTCAGATTGTATGTTTTCTGCTACGTTTGCCTCAAGCTAGATGTGAAGCGTCAACTAAATATCATAAGACCTTAAACTCGATGCTCCAAATTATTATTTAGTGCTAGTTGCTAACCTGTCGTAGTCATATTTTCCCGTGCAGTGCAAGTGTATTTGGCGTTTCACCAACCTCTTTGCAATGTTCATATGATCAAAGAGGAAATAGTGTGCCCACAATACTCTTGATGATGCAGAGGAAGTTGTATCTACGAGAAGGACTTAAGGTATGGCCAGCTGTAATTTAATAAATTAGCAATTGAAATATCAGCTTCAAGTCCTCAGAATGCTTACTTGTATCTATTGTATTCTTAGATTGAAGGGATCTTCAGAATTAACGCAGAGAATGGTCAAGAAATCTGTGTCAGGGACCAATTAAACAGTGGCGTGGTTCCGGATGAAGTTGACTTGCACTGCCTGGCTGGGTTGATAAAGGTGCTGAGAACTTCTGCAGTAACACTAACTCTCTTTTACTTTCAGCTTCAAGAGATACCTAGGCCTAGCAGACAGATATTCTGTGAGCGTGATTTCTCTGCGAACCAACATGTTTAGAGCCTTAAAGATCAACACTCAGGAAGGACAATACACATTATGTTTGAGCAATAGCATGAAACTAAAAATGAAGAGATTCATTTGTGGCTTGTAGGCAATGGTACACAAACCATTTTTCTTGTAAATCATTTCGTGACCTATGGTGCTCTTTTGCAGGCATGGTTTCGGGAACTTCCAACAGGAGTATTGGACACGCTGACTCCAGAGCAAGTAATGCACTGCAACACAGAAGAGGAGTGCGCTCTCCTTGCTTCTATGCTACCACCAGTTGAAGCAGCATTACTTAACTGGGCTATTAATCTAATGGCCGATGTTGTGGAGCTTGAAAACTACAACAAGATGAATGCGCGAAACATCGCTATGGTTTTTGCGCCAAACATGACTCAGGTTATTGGAAATACTACTATTTGTTATTCTTACCTGCAGAGCAAACCCTGTGTGACCAAGCACACCCACGAGCATACACTAACCCCATGGTATTTCTCTTCCAGATGGCCGATCCATTAACTGCCCTGATGCATGCAGTTCAGGTGATGAATTTCCTCAGGACTTTGATCGTAAGGACCGTAAGGGAAAGGGAGGAGTTAGCTACAGCATCCATGACATTGCAGTCATGCTCTGATTCCCCAAATGACCAAGACGAACCTCAGATGCCGGAGCATTTGGAGAAACCGTTCACTTGTTCAATTCAGGAGAGGGTCGATCACCCGATGATTGATAAGGCTATTTCTGAACAGCTCCTATCTGAAGCTCAACAAGTCCTCCATAATTCCAAAAATGATTTCGAAGAACAAGAGAAGAAGTGTGATATGGACCACAATAAGTGCCACAGTGGAGTTCCTCCACGTCACAATGATCCGAATAGCGGAGTGACCAGTTCCGGAAGAGAATTTGGCAATAGGAACGTGGAAGGCTTGTTCGACAGATTTAGTTTCAGGAAAGGTGTGGAGAGGCTGTGCAGGCACCCTGTGTTTCAGTTGAGTAGGTCCATGAGGAAGGCCCCAGACGTGGCTGTGTTTGATGCTCCCAGAGAAGCAAGACAAGCTTGGGTATGATATGATAGTGAGATAGTATGGGATTGTATGTAATGGTAATGGAGTTATTTTTGCTTCTTTTTTGTTTAGTTGATGGATTGGCCGTTCCTCTAGTTTGTGTGAGTAGAAACGGTTAGCGAATTAGTTTGTAGGTACTGCAGATTTCAGTGTACATTATAATCGTTATAACTGACGACGTGTGAAAGATTGCATGTGGTTCCTATATAAGTGAACGAATAGTCACAGTGAACTTCGACTAAATTATGTACCTCAAAAGCTAGTGATCCCTGCACTGTTCTTATACAAATTTTATGATAAGTTATTGTGGAATGTTATCAGCCAATGGCAGTATATATTCCAACTTTTCAAGGGGATGCATTCAGTATTGCCAGTGAATGGCTTTATAAATGCATTTGCCTTGGTACGGATGCATCTGCCATTCTCTATTGTCAGTGCAGCTGTGGAAACATACTGTATTTATTTATTTTTCAAGACAGATGCATTCCCCCGTTAGCTGAACAAGCTAGCAGCCATTAGCATGTCTGACAGCTCGCCTGTACTGCGCCCAACAGAAAACCATCTCATCCAGGTCCAGTTGGGATAGTTCAAATCTCCTCTTGAAGCAGTCAGACATGACCATGTCAAACGGTACTAGGGTGATGCAGCAGGCACGATAAGCATGGCAGTGCGCCCAGTGTACGAGGATGGGATATATGCAGAGCAAAGATTTAAATAGCGGCGCTATACGGGCCTCCCCTTCCCAAGTTGTTGTCCTCCTCCTTGGGTCGAGCTGCTCCTGGTGGCGAGGAAGGAAGGAGGGGTAGCTGAAGTTACTCCCGGTGGAAGGAAGCAGCAGCAGCCGGATCTGGCCATTCATGGTGCGGATTGAGCGGTGTGGTGGTAATTGCAGGTCCAAGTCCAACCTCTCCGCAGAGTCCATGTTCCTCTCTGGTGATAATACCATTTTCGATGTGCTGCTTGTTGGTGCTTTTCTGATGAGGCTGTTGCTTTGCTTTGTGTGCAGGGGCGCAAGGTCAGGGTGTTCATGTACCCAAGCAGCATCTAAGGTTGGCAATCTATATCATCCACTCCATGCTTGATATTTGTGTAGTTGTCAATAGCTCAGCGGCCACTGCTCCCGGCGGCGGCCACCATCGGCTTCTCCATGGCAAGTCAAGCCTATCTCCTTTGCCTACCCCTAAGAGTTGAATATGAATTTGGTGTATGAATATTAATGTAGGATGCCATTGCTAATTGAATTTGGTCTGGAAGTAGGACCAGGATATGTTCTGTTCAGAATATTTGAGATGCACTATGATGACCTAAACCTTTGGTTTTGTGCAAGTTATGTGATCCATACTATGCCTAATTAGTGATTACTTGGTTATTCGCATGTATATGTGATATTCGATGCTTGATTGTATGTTTACCTTTTCATTTTCTATTGATTCATGCTGAAACGCTAAATTGGGCTTGGCACGCTATAGCGTCTCATAGTTTTTCTCCAAGCCGCTGCTAAGAGGCTTGGCGCGCTATTTAAAACTTTGATGCAGAGTCCTAGAAACGCTCCACGGTTTGTTGCAGCATACGTAAGATGGCCGTGCTCCCTCGCCACTGCTGCCCTTCCCTCTTCACAGCAGTGATCCTGCTCTTGTTCTGTCCATCTCCGGCGTCGCCTCATGCTTTCTTCATCTTCGGCGACTCCCTCGTCGACGCGGGCAACAACGACTATCTCGTGACCCTCTCCAAGGCCAACACCCCGCCATACGGCGTCGACTTCTCGTTTTCTGGCGGCAAGCCGACCGGGAGATTCACAAACGGCAGGACCATTGCGGATGTCATCGGTAATAGTAGCAAGCAGTATGAGTTTTCATGAGAAACTTTGTTTAGACTGTCCATGTTTTATCTGACGAAAATGTCTTGGTGCTATTCCCTCAGGTGAAGCCTTGGGGCAGGAGAGCTTTGCTCCTCCCTACTTGGCTCCAAACTCTAGTGCTGAAGTGATCAACAGTGGAACCAACTATGCTTCTGGTTCTTCCGGCATTTTCGACGAGACCGGTTCCTTTTACGTATGTGATTTTTATTTTGCAGTTGGTATACTTCCCTTGGCTTGCTTTGGTCTGAACTCTGAATTGCAACTGTGTGAAAATGTGGTTGGGTTGGCAGATCGGAAGGGTGCCACTCGGACAGCAAATCAGCTACTTTGAGAAGACCAGAGCTCAGATACTGGCGACCATGGGGGAGAAAGCCGCGGCCGACTTCTTGGGGGAGGCGCTCATCACGGTGGCTGCTGGATCCAATGACATTTTGGAGTACCTCTCACCTTCAGTGCCATTCTTCGGACGACAGAAGCCTGATTCTGCAGATTTTCAGGACGCCTTGGTTTCCAAGTTGGCATTTCATCTGAAGGTGCCACTCACCCCTAACTCACAGTGTTCCTAGCTAGTGAGTAGTACTGTAATTTTCTTTGGTTTGCTCCCATTCTGAGCTTACCATCTTGCAACTCGCTTCCAAAACGAAGCGGCTGAACGAACTCGGGGCTAGGAAATTTGTCATCGCCGACGTCGGGCCGCTGGGCTGCATACCGTACGTCCGCGCCCTGGAGTTCATCCCTGCCGGGGAGTGTTCCGCAGCTGTGAACAAGCTCTGCGAAGGCTACAACAAGAGGCTGAAGAGGATGATCGGCAGGCTGAACCAGGAGATGGGCCCGGAGAGCGCGTTTGTCTACACCAACACCCACGGCATCGTCATGGAGATCATTCGGCAGCACAGTCAATACGGTAGTAGGATTTTCTTTCTTGCGTACTGCAGGCGGGTTCGCATTCCGTGGACTGAAACTTGGTCATGCGCACGTAGGTTTCGAGGAGGCGCTGGACCCTTGCTGCGGCGGCAGCTTCCCGCCGTTCCTCTGCATCGGCGTCGCCAACTCGAGCTCCGCCACCCTGTGCGAGGACCGCTCCAAGTACGTGTTCTGGGACGCGTTCCACCCGACCGAGGCCGTCAACTTCATCGTCGCCGGCAGGATCGTCGACGGCGGCGCCGCCGATGCGTCGCCCGTCAACGTCCGCGCCTTGTTCCAGCGTCGATACGGATGAACGAGGAGATCGCCTTGTGTGCGTGCATGCACCGCATCGTGGAATATCTTCTCCCCCCGCGCAACACTTTCCGCACGTCTTCAAACGTGTAGAACGTGACGGGCGACGGTGACTTTGACGCGCGGCAATTTTCTTTTCTTTTTCCTTCTCTGCTGTTGTTGCCTTTGGCTGCTTTGTGAAGGCCGGAAAGTAGATCGCTGTTGTAGAAAGGAACAATTCGGAACGACGACCGACGGACGGTAATATATACTGGCGTACGTGCGGTCTACAGAAGTGCATAAGCGCGAAGCAGTAGAGAGGAGTAGTAGCGCACATGCATATTTGACGGGACTATTCTGCACACCGCCGCCGGTGCAGCTTCCAGCCACGCCACGCCACGCCAGGCGGGTATATATGCGCGCAACACTTGGACTCGATCTATTGACGACGGCCGGGCGGTGCCAGGCGCGTACGTAACCTTCCATGGAGGCGGGTGCGGGGCCACCGAAGCCCGCGGCCACGGCGAAGGTGGCGTCGTCGTCGTCGTCGTCGTTCTCGTCCGTGGCCGCCACGGCCGCGAGCCTGGTGGCGGTCGGTCTGGGAGGCGCGGCGCTGCTGGTGTGGTGGGCGCTGGCGTTCCACCCGGCGCACGCGCGGCTCTGGATGGTGCCCGCGGGGCTGGTCCTCCTCGGCACGCCCGTCCTCGCCTGGCTCTCCCTCTTCGCCTCCAGCCCGTGCCGCTGCGGCCGCCGCCCGGTCGAGGCGCCTCCGGCGCCGGGCGCACACGCAGGCGCTTAGCGACCCGCCTCCACGTAGCTTACAGCTTGCCATTCTTCCGTGCGCATGCAGTAGCTTCTCTTCTCCCGACACGTACGTGCCTGTTTAATTAGTTTGCTCTGCTGCTTCTTGCTCGCTCCGGGATCAGTTGAGATCATACCACATGTACACAGCCATACATATGTTCAGCTTTTGTTTCTATGTCCAGGATCACTTCTGCTGCTTGGGTTTCTTCGTTACTTTGCAGTGTTCTTGCGCTTGTTCACGCCGCAGACGTTCTTCCCGATGCTGACGATCGACCAAGTGCCAGCTTTCTGATCCGTTCACGCGCAAACGATTTTGTTCGTTCACGCGGCGCCGAAAGTCTAAAGCGAGCGAGTGTGCGTGTGCCGAATCCTACGCCGCCACACTCCGCTCCGTCGGATCGGTCTCGATCAGCGGTCGGATCGGGAGGTGGACGTGCACTATGCGCGCGCAGGCCCCAGGGAATGCCCGCCCCCCTCTTGCCGGATTGGGACGGGTTCCACTCGGCAAGCAAAAAAGATCTTTCGCTGGTTTACAACGGGTGTTATCTTAGGTAGGTGATGCGATTAGCGATAAGGATTTAGGTATTGGAGCTGGAGCTTATGAGTCTAGGCCTATCGTAAGAGGATCCAAGTAAACTGTTGTTATCTTGTCATCCTAATTTAACAAGATAGCGCGTTCGGTTCGAGTCCAGTCACTGCGCACAATGGTCTGGTAGTACGTGTGATGAGAGATTCCCAGGTACTTGACAGGGCAGGCGGATGTGATCGGAGCCTCGTTTCTGATAGGACAGTACATAGTTCAACGTAAAAACTAGTAGTAGTTCTTTTTCGAAAAGGGGCGCTTTATATTACTTAAAGAGAAAAGTATATTTCAAAAATGATTGCGGCTCAGATATTATCAGCACGACTCAGAGTGCATTTGTACCCGGAAGAATGTTACATATAACATTTTAGTGGAGTACGAGTGTTTCCATACAATAAAGAAAAAAAGGAATGTTAAAGAGGGTATGTGTGCCATCAAATTGGATATGCACAAAGCGTACGACCGGGTAGAGTGGTCTTTTCTGAAGGAAATTATGTTGAAATTGGGATTCCAAGAGAACTGGGTAAATCTAATTATGCAATGTGTATCTTCGATGGAGTACCGGGTTCGCTTTAATACTAAAGAGACTGAGAGTTTTAAACCTACTAGAGGTTTAAGGCAGGAAGATCCTCTCTCTCCATATTTATTCTTGCTATGTACAGAGGGGCTGACGGCTCTTCTAGCTAATGCGGAGGAGAATGGTAATATTTCTGGAGTTAAGGTTTGTAGAGATGCCCCCTCGATCTCAAACCTTCTCTTCGCCGATGATTCTTTGATCCTTATAAAAGCAAATGCTATGAATGCTGAGGCGCTGAAATCAATTTTGGATTCTTATTGTGTTGCCTCGGGGCAAATGGTGAGCGTTGAAAAGTCGAGTATTTTCTTTAGTCCCAACACAAAAGTGGAAGACAAGGCGCAAATTTGCACAATTCTGGATATTACGACTGAAGCTCTCAATGACAAATATTTGAGTTTGCCTGTAAATGTGGGTATGGACAAAAGTGAGGCCATGCTTGGATCCGAGGGACTATTTTTAGTCTGACTAAAACTAGTCTCTTTTAGAGGCTAAAATTTCAATCATCCCTGACTAAAGAGAGGCTAGAACTAGTCTTGAGACTAAAAAAATTTAGTCAGGGGAACCCTACTAAAATGTGGATTAGTCCCCTCTCTCCTCATTTAACTCCTCTCCTTTAACACATGCGAGTTCGAGATTGGAGGGTTTGAAGGATAATAAATGCTCATTAACTCATTTTAGTCTATTTAGTATTTGTATCCAAGCATGAGTGAGGCTAGCAAGTTTTAGTCTCACTACTTTTAGTCATGGGACTAAAACGTATCAAGCACCCTCTGAGTGTTTCCAATTCCTAATTGATTGCATTTTTACAAAAATTAGTGGATGGAAAAAAAATTGTTATCCGTTGGAGGAAAGGAAGTTCTCCTCAAAGTTGTTGTACAAGCTATCCCAACTTATGTTATGTCCGTCTTTAAAATTCCTAAAAAATTTTGCAAAGGAATCATTGACGCAATGTCACAATTTTGGTGGGGTGACGAGGACAATCAGAAGAGGATGCATTGGATGACGTGGTGGAAGATGTGTGTCCCAAAAGACCAAGGAGGCATGGGCTTCCGAGATATACATTGTTTCAATCTGGCTTTGCTAGCCAAACAGGCGTGGCGTTTGCTTGATAATCCAGAATCATTATGTGCTACAATCTTCAGAGCAAAATACTTCCCAGATGGTGATTTAATGAGTGCAAATCTAAAGAAGGGTTCATCTTTTACCTGGCAAAGCATTATGGAAGGAGTTAATTCCCTAAGGAATGGTTACATCTGGCGAGTTGGAAATGGACAAAAGATTGATATTTGGGAAGATGCATGGATCCCGAATTGTGCAAGTAGGAAAATTATTACTCCTAGAAGGAGGCATCTTTTGTCAAAGGTAGTAGGAAAATTATTACTCCTAGAAGGAGGCATCTTTTGTCAAAGGTGTCTGACCTTATTGACCCAATCATGAATTGTTGGGATGAAGACTTGGTGAGACAAACTTTGTGGCCAATTGACGCTCAAAGGATGCTCGCGATTCCCCTTCCGATGCATGATATGTCGGATTTCATTGCTTGAAGTTATACAAAAAAATGGCTTGTTCACTGTTCGATCAGCTTATTCGGAGGAATGGAACCAACATGGGAGGAAATTGCAATATACAAATGGTATGGGTAGAACCAATGCTAATCCTATCTGGGTAAGATCTCGAAACTATCTTGTCCGGCAAAGGTAAAAAAATTCATCTGACATACATTGCATGGAACTCTCCCATGCCGTGTTACGCTCGCTAATAGACACATGAAAATTTCGCCCATCTGCCCATCATGCTCAAATGGTCCAGAAGACACAAAACACGTCTTGTTTCTGTGTCAGAAGGCGAAAGAGGTTTGGAACAAGTTAGGATTGTATGAGGTGATCAATAGAGCTTGTAGTGTCGATCGGGCGGGAGAGGCAGTTCTTGAATTGTTACTACTTATGCCAGACCAAGAATTATTTGTATTGGGACTCCAGAACGTACGTGAATTGATTGCTATAACAACTTGGTATCTATGGTGGGATAGACGTAAACTGGTTCATGAAGGAAAGTCTCAAGATGCACATCAAACTTCGATGGGGGCTCGTGCCATAACGGCGAACTATGTTAATGCACACTCCTCTAAGGCAACCAGTAAAATAAGGGGATGGAGCAGACCTCCTATGGGTTTTGTGAAACTAAATGTTGATGCTTCCTTTGATCACGATCTGCTTAGGAGCACGGCAGGGGCTGTCCTCAGAGATGACAAAGGAAGGTTCATTGTTGGCGGAAATTGAAGGATTGATTGGTGTGTTGACGTATTAACAGCAGAAGCATAGCTCTAAGGTTTGGCTTAATCCTTGCACAGAAGGTTGGTTGCAATCGCCTTATTGTCAACTCTGATAATATGGAAATGATTGACACAATGAAAAATGGAGGACAATCAGCGGGTGCGGCAACAGCAGTGTTCGACAATTGCTATTTTATGGCATGTGATTTTTCTGTTACTAGGTTTGAACATTGTAATAGGGAAGCAAATAAAGTTGCTCATGAACTTGCTATACTAGTGAAAATTTTCAGAGACTAGGGATTGGTGTGAGGAGCCTATGGAGGATATTGTATCTTTTTTTATTGATGATGTAACTCTTATTTCCAATTAATAAAGTGTGATATTTATTTTTAAAAAAAAGTATATTTTTCGTCCTTCAACTTTTGACGAAATCTAGATTGAGTCCTTTAACCTCAAAACCAGACAACTTGCAACTCTAACTCTTAAAACCAGATAAGTTTAGTCCCTGAGGTTGTTTATGTGCTGACTCAACCTGGTTTTGACCAGTCGCACCTCATCATCATCTTTTTACCGGTGGAGTCATGCTATAAAGACTGTTGAGTAACGTGATTGTATTAGGAAACATAGGTTAGATTCCGCTCTCTCCCTTTAACAAAGACAACAAAGACGACAGAAAAAGGACGATTCACAGACGATAATTATATCAGGCCGCACATGCGTATCATTGAAACAGCACCGGCCGCTGGATCTAAATGTCGTGCATACGTCGGGCATAAGTATCGTTCATGGAGCAGTTTCGTTACTGGTGTCAGGCATTTTATCGAACACTTCGTAGGCAGCGGATGTTGGTCATCTCGTCCATCCCGACGGCCATGCTGCTCTACCCCCGCATGTCCAGCAGCGCCGTCCGGAGATCCCATTGCTGGCGGCCAGGAGCATCCCGCGGGGTCGGTGGTGACGGTTGGAAAACTGGCTTGCACGGCATGGATACAGCGGTGGAACGGCGGGGCGGCCGCATACAGTAGCGCGAACCATGCCGTCGTGGTGGGCGCACCCAAACAGGCCATAGAAGCTTCCCGAGCAACGTGCTGGAGCTTGACGCCCGGGTGCCTCGACTCCGCGGCCTGGCCCTTGCCCCAGCGCGTGCGCACCAACGCGGTCCCGGATGCGAGCGCCGCGAGCTCGAGGGCAAGCACCACCGGCGGCGACGAACGCGTGGCTGCATGTCAAAAGTGGCGGGAGCGCGTTGTCCAGGCCCTCGGCGAGCATTCCACAGACAACGTCGAGGAGGTACACCACAGGTCTATCAGTACATGCACGCCGCCGAGCTCGATGCGTCCGGAGTTTGAGTATCTCGTCGTCGACCAGGCGGCGCTGGTTTCCAGAAGGGGAGCTCCAAAACGGCACGAACGTCAGCTTGGTCGCTTGCGTTACTGGCGAGCTCCTGTGTCATACTGGTGCGGCCCGCAGTAGTGCGTGTAGAGGTTGGCAGGCAGCCAGGGGTTGTGCCATGGCGAGGTGCACGGGGGTAGCAGGGCTGTTGCACGCGGCCAGCGATGAGAAGGTAGTGGCGGCTTGGAGCGACCAGTAGGCAGCCAAGGATGCGGCCATCGTGACGTATGGTGGCTAGCAGGACCACAATGGTAGGCGCGCATCCTATGTTTGATGAAATGCTCAAACTGACATAGGAAGAAGGAAGAAGAGATAGGGCCAGGTGGGAGAGAGAAATACTGCCACATGGACGAAAACCAGTCAAAACCACACTGAGTCAGCAGCGATACCGGGTTAGCCGAGACGAGGGACTAAACTTGTCCGGTATTAACATTTAGAGGTGCAACTTGTCCGGTTTTGAAGTTGAAGGACTAAATCTAGACTCCGCCAAGAGTTAAGGGACGAAAAATGTACTTTTCTTTTACTTAAAAGGTTTAAGCATGACACCCGGCCTCTGCATAATTAAGATGCACACAACCAACAAAGTTCTCACGACAAGCCAAAATAAAAGGAGAAGGCGAAATACAAGGATAAAAATCTGTATAGTTCTGAATTACAAGATGTTCTAAACTTTTTTTCTGATTCAGATGTATATATATATACACATTTTAGTGTGTTTGTTCACTCATTTCAGTCGGTGTGTAGTCCATAGTGACAGCTTGTAATAGTGAACGGAGGGAGTAAAATAATATTGCGAGTGGAATTTGGCAACATGGCACGGCCAGCCATGAACCGCTTTATTATTTCTTCTCTGATTGTTACTTTGTCTTAGGCCGATTATATATACTAGTACAACAATATACATGCGGTATACAGGCAAACATCCAGAGGCAGAACGCACCAGGATTCCGATGAGCATGGTTCGTATTGGATGGCCATCCGCACCACCCCATTCACACAGTTTCAGCTTCGGGATGAACTTTGGGTCCAGGGTAGGAGAACAGTTTGGTGGCGTTCCTGTAGCTCGCCTCGGCGAGTTCTGCTTCCGGCATTTCAAGCAGTGATGCCACATACTTCAAAACCTGAAAAGGAACATGGAAATGAGGCATGGTTTACTAGACTGATTTCCTTAATCCATCATCAGTGTGTGCGAGAACGAGAGCTTGTCAAGTAACAAGCCATTGTTGGACAGATGGAGTAGTGACACCGTGCCAGTGAGATGGGAGTGGATCAATTAAACAATAGAAAAACAGCAGCACACACATTTTTTAAACTCTAAGCACGGATATGACATCATACTGAACATGGCACAGTAATGTTGAAATAGTGGAGCATTCAGAGAAAATATTGTGTGCCCTAGAAAGGTTTAGTTCTTTATAGACATCGTAGTATGCTAGCCAGGACAAGAATATTTTCATTATTAGGAAACTGTTTAAAATAAGAGAGGTAGCAATGAGCTCGTGCAACATGTACCATGAAGATTTGCTAACAAAACTATAAGCCAAAGGCATCAGGGCACAAATCTTACAATGTGGATGTTAGCTGGATGATTCAAGGATTCTTTTGAAGAGGTAGAATCCCGTGGAACTTTTCAATATCTGCATTTGAAATGTCCACAGGGACTGTAACTAGAGAAACATTGTCCAACTTTGGTACTGCATCTGGTGCATCTGTCTCTAACAGAATCCTGTCCAAGGGTATCTAGAACAAACACAAATGCATTTCACTGGTGGTGCAGAATAGATTTTAACATAACTACTTGCAGGGAGAAAAAAGGCATGGCCGACTTACTGCTTTGAGCATTTTCTTTGCCTTAGTAGATTTCATGCCTGTAAGGAAACCAGACAACGAAAAGTAACAACCTAAATTTGCAAGGCCGGGCACCATTTCTGCAGACCCCAGATAAGAATGCAACAGCACACCTGCTGGGAAAGGCCCAGTACGCCTGCAGGCAGCCAAAATGTTAACACGGCATAACATTTATTTGTAGACAAAGAGATAAGAAATTACAGGACATCCATACTAGACTAGAAGTATGGAAGCTGCTCTTCTGTATGACATATATATCTAGGAAGAGCAATATATTCAATGTTTTGGAAATGAGATGAAAAAAAACTAATTGCAAACCTACTAAGAACCTGGTGTATGCCATATCATGGGTAATCTACTTTTTAAGATATTGAAAATTGAACTTAGACAAACAAACTACCACTACCTGTCATATTGAACTAGATACTGACAAGAACTAAAAAGATGATAAAGACCAAATATCCATTCCTTACTTTAGTATTTCCAGAAGATCGCCGAAGGTACGTACACAATGAACAGAAACAGGTTTCTCCAATTCCTTAGCAAGTTCAAGTTGTCGTTGGAATACTTCAACCTGTGTTAAATTTTTTATTTTGAGAAGTTCAACCTGTGTTAATATTGTTATGCTTATGGTAAAGGGGTAGAACTAAAGCCTGTCATGTGGGGCACGTCTTACAGACGTGGGCCGCGCGGCCAGGAGCAGCCGACGGCCGCATCAGGCAAGGCGCAGGCTGGACAGGAGTCCTGATCCGGGCACATTAGTTCCTAGACTAGTTTATTTCGTATAGGTTTCTAGTTTGTTATTAGCCCATGGGGCCTTTATATATCAGATAGTTAGCACCCTTTAGGGATAAGCAATAAAGTTATTTCCTTCTATCTTCCCCTCCCGCATCATAGAGCAGCCAGGCAAAAACCCTAGCGCTCCTATCCACCGCGACTACGAACTACGTAGTCGAGGTCCTGCTGTCTTGGGCACCGAGGCCCTTGACAACTTGGTATCAGGTTCCAGGCGATCCTCCTCCTCGTCCACGCTCCATCCGCCGGCCGCTTTCCCCCCTGTGTCCGCGCCCAGCTCCCCGACATCGCCACAATCCGCTGCCGCCTCGGTCACTTCCGGCATGGCAGAACCGACCACCGCGGATCTGGCTAAGATGATCGAGGCCTTGACGGCCACGGTGATGTCCCTGCAGTCGTCCGTCACCGCACTCCAGAAGGACAAGTCCTCCTCTTCGTCCAGCGCTGCCGCCGCCCATGATGGGCAGCACCACAATGATCGGCCGCCCAGGTTCCAGAAGATGGACTTCCCCAAGTTCGACGGCAAGTCTGATCCGCTCGCCTTCATCAACAGATGCGAGTCCTTCTTCCATCAACAACGGATCGCCGAGGAGGAGAAGGTGTGGATGGCGTCCTACAATCTCGAGGGTCCTGCCCAACTATGGTATATGCAGGTCCAGCGCGACGAGGGCACACCTCCGTGGCGCCGCTTCTCCGAGCTGCTCAATCTCCGCTTCGGGCCACCGCTGCGCGCTAACCCGCTGGGCGAACTAATGGCGTGCAAACGCATGACGTCCGTCGTCGACTTCCAGGAGCGGTTTGAGGCACTCCTTCCCCGGGCAGGCACCTTATCCGAGACACAGAAAGTGCAGATCTTCACCGCGGGACTCCAGCCACCCCTCAGCCTCGACGTGGAGATCCATAACCCACAGTCCCTCGCCGTCGCCATGAGCCTCGCCCGCAAATTGAAGCTGTGCGACCAGTGCGCGCTTT